CTATATAAATCTATATCCCAACATAACAATATTATATTAAATAAATATATTTTCAACAAAGACAACGTTAATTCTTTAAAAAATAAATGAGAAACTTCTGAAAAAATATGATCCTTCCCCTAAACGGTTAATGTATGACTGATAATATTGTATACCGAGCGAGCATACATTCCGGTAACGATATTAAATTTTATTTTGGTTCCAATAAAAATCATTGAAAATTTCGTTTCTACCATCATCGAATGACTTTAGGCAATACATAATACAAAAACAGCACTGATCTCTCTAAATATTTCTGGCAATTAGAGAATCGTGCTATTACACCTTTTATCACCTGGGATATTGTAACAAGTGCCAAATGTTCCAATTATAGATAATAGATGTAATTTCTGTCTTTCTGAAAAATAGTTTACTTAAAACACTTAAACACCTCTAGCTTATTAAACAAGAGAAATGAATTGATGGCTACATGTAGGCATAAAAATAAATAATCCACCTTTTAATCGTAATGTTCAAACGAATATGGGTAGAATTTTTATAAATTTAATATATATATATATATTTAAATACGTTTATCCATATTCATTTTTAACGTAAATTATGGTTTGTTTGTTTTTAAAAAGTAATCTCACTTTATGCTTAATATAAAAAAGATAATATTCACATACTGTAAAATAATTTATTTTTCACATCTATATACAAATACCGTTTATTTTAAATAAGATAATTTTTTTATAAACTATAATACCAATATAATATATAACTGCACCAATATTGCGATAAACTCGTATTTTTATTAAAATTTAAATTACGTAACGGTCAGTCTATACTCATCACCTGAAGATTGCCCTGTGCATGAAACTCACAGTTGGGCTACCAGTGAGGGATAATGTGTATATTTATTAATATATAATATATATGTGTAATATATATTATTATATATATATATATATATATATATATATATATATATATATGTATGCCTGTCTTCTAGGGCGGGGGGTTAGTCAATCGCTGTTGCAGATGTCTACTCAGGCACATTTGTATTTGTTCAACACCAACAGAATCCACTGAGCGGACCTTAATTAATGTTTCTGGAGTGACTTGTGACTTCGTTCTAGCACAGCCATCAGTGTCTTCCGAACAGTTCTATCTCCTCAAGTTACTTCACAATGCTTGTGTTAAACCGTGGTATGATTGACAAATGGTGAGATTCGAACCCGTGTTTTATGGGGAAAAAGTAAGCTTTCGAAGCACTTGTCACGCATCCTTGGTTGAATCAGACATATATATATATATATATATATATATATATATATATATATATATATATATATATTCTTTTTTTTAAGCAAATGTAATTTTTAGGCTAAATTATTTTCGGAATATTGTTTCGGTATTTGGGCACCTCATCTAAGTCTTTATATGTAATTGGGTCTGATAAGAAGAAAAATATGACTAGTGTTTATTGCGTAAAGCGTTCTTAAAACAATGGCGGTTGTTTCAGAAACACGAAATCTTGAAGAAAAAGGAGTAACTTTTTTTTATTTGTTTATTTCACAATTCTTAAGATGTTAACAATTAAAAAAAACTGGGTTAGTTTTCGCAACATCTGGGAGTCAGGCATTCTAAGTGATCTGTTTTAAGCCCTTACTGACTCCCTATTAGCTATACAGACAAACCCAGAGAGAGAGAGAGAGAGAGAGAGAGAGAGAGAGAGAGAGAGAGAGAGAGAGAGAGAGAATTTTCATCTGAATGTTTCACTATATAATATTTGGTCAATGAAATTAATCATCAAGCGTTGAATTAAGTGCATTAACAAAGAAGGAAATTACGTTGAAACACTAACAAACATTTCGGCAACTTCTGCGGCCAAACCAATTACAAATGAAATACCCCGTTTTCTCTGTTGCTTTCGATTAATTGACTGATTTGTTGTTTACGGCTTATCGACCTTTTGCAGGTTATTTAAAGCCTGGAATATGTGTTTAGATTGTAGGAATTTTTTTGAATAAATAATGATTTACTGATCCTACTAATTAACCCATAGCTGGAGAGAGAAAAGATGGATTCGTACCTTTCCCAAGGGTATTTGCTCGTAAGTGAATAGAACGAACCCGACTGGAATTGGAACTCGGTTCTCCAAGTTTTAATTCCGAGCTCTTATCCATTACACCCCCACACACACCCAAGCTTACTCACCTGGTATTCCCAAGTGGTTATCCATCTAAGTACTGACCAGATTCGACGTTGCTTAACTTCGGTGATCGTACAAGAACCTCGATTCATTTCTCTATTGCATTCGATAGTCTTAATGAATAAAACGTGCCGTTTATTAAGACTCTTCAATGCACAAGTCGGTAGAAGTAATCTACATTGTTTACAAAAAGGGGCTTTACTCAAGCTTGTGTATCCACTAAAATTTAAAATATAGCGTTTAAAATCCATGAATCCCTGTGTATTGTAATTGGGCAACGTTATTTACAGGAGGACTATTATCCTCATCTTTGTTGTTGTTATCTGTTGTGGCAAACCCTCTTACAGTATAATGAACTCTTCCTTCTCTCATAAATACAAACTGCGAGAGTCGGATAGCAGAGTGTGAAGTGGAGTGGAGTAGAAGACGCAGTGCTAATCTACTTATTACTAACACTATTATTTTCTATATATCTTCAATATACTTTTTTCAACCTACTTTTGTCTTCTGTGTCTTTCATTCTGACCCCTAAACAGGCCACAACATTATCAGAATCTTTTCGGTTGTTGTGATAGCAAAAACAAAGATGAGGACAATCGTCTCCAGTTAAATAATAAAAATATTGATAACATCACATCCCAGAAATTTATACAGAAATGTTGGCAACAATTTCTCATTTATGCAAATTTTATTTCAGCTTAACGGAAGTTGTTTAAGGTATTTGGAATTTGAATGTTTTTTTCGGTTCTGACCATTTTTCTGGCCCCAGGAAAATTTTAAATATAAAGTTTCTCTTTTGGCTTTCACGAAACATAATAATAATAATAATAATAATAATAATGGATTACAAAGGACGGAAAATGCGACGCATTGGGATAACGAAAGATGCCTTTTAAAACCTTAGTCTTAGTGGCGTTATCGCCTTACTTATGGTTAAATGGTCAAAACAAATTAAAGTGAAAGAGTCAAACTGATGTAATGGAATAACCAGTCACCCCCATGAATGATTACACTATAGGTAGGAAGTACCTATAAAGTCAGCTGTTTACGAGAGACTCAGGTAGAAGACGTGTGAAGACTGAGAGAGAGACGCCGCAAGCATGTCCGACCTTCCAATTAGTGGCACTCACTACTAGATTGACCTGTGTGTATAACTGTACCGTATTTCATATTGTACTGGTTGTGTACAATAAACCTTCTATTATCCAGCTGGTGTTAAGTATTTATTCGCTTAGCACGGAATATAACATAACATATATAATATAACCTAAACAAAACGAGAGCACACTAATTCCCTCACTGACTGATGTTATTGATTATAGAAGGAGTAATGAATTTCTAGATATAGTTATATATTTATAGTTATATCTGTCTATATTTCTGAGATGAGGTGTTATGTACACTACATTATTCGGACTATCGTTCTCATCTTTATCACAACGTTTCGGCCGTTGTACCAGGTGGTTGGAATGTCGAACTGAACCCTGGGGAAGACTGTGCTAATAACACGTGCCATGTCTAATGGATGTCAGTTATCAGTTATCTCCTATTAATTCCCCTCTCCAACTTCTCTACTGCCTTAAGCAGGTATTGAACTCACAACTCTTTGGGTCCTGTCACTGGATCTAACTAACGCATTTATCCACTGTGCCATTTAAGGACATCTGTGTATGAATTTCTGGGACTTATAAACATGATATCTTCAGCAACCATTTTTACCAATGCTCATATTGCAATTTTTGCTGTTACCATTGCATTTTTTTTTGTTTTTTTACCAGAGGTCATATTGGAAAATTGCAATAATTGCAAGGGGAATTAAGGAGATAACTGATAACTGACGTCCATTAAACATGACACGTGGAACTAGAACAGTCTACTCCAGCGATCGGCCCAGTTCAACATTCCAATCACCGGAGCGTACAACGGCCGAAATGTTGTGATAAATATGCCACCAAAGATGACAACAATAGTCCGAATAATGTAAATAGTGTACATAATACCTCATCTCAGAAATATAGACAGATAAAATGGCTGTTCTTGAATGACTTCTAAAGAGCATCTTCTATGAAAAGTAGAGAAGAAACACAAATCACAAAGTTTTAACAAGCTAAGAACTTTGAGGACACAAGAAAGTTTTCCATTGAGATATTTCTCATAAAATTAAGCATTTTCAGGTTAGCTTATCTGAGCTGAAATAGCTTAATTTTTAAAGTTATTTAGATACTTTTTCTTGAATGATAAATCATTTTAACATGAAATGAAATGTTTCACCTATGTCACTCACATAGGTAAGACGTTGCATATCCCTGTGAATTAGGTATTTTGATTTATTTTAAGCAAAATAGAAATTGTCTGTACAGAGAAAACATGATGTGATGTGACAAAATGGACTTGATTTTCAGATTCGGCGTGGTAAAATAGCCGAGAAACATGTGCCCGTTGCCCAACAATATTTGGGTCGAAAAATGTCGACTGATGTAATCTATCTATCTATATGTCTATCTATCTATCTATATAATGACACGTTGTATACTGAAGACCAGACGCGATCCGCGCTACTGATAAAATACGACAACATTCTGTTTTTGAAGTCTGCGTTCGATTCTCGGAAGTTACATGCTTTTGATTCTTCAATAAGCACATTGATTTTTATTAACCGGTAGTGCATGCCTTTCTTGACTGGCTTATTACATACCGTTTTTGACTGACTTATTACACGCTTTTCCTTTCTGCCTTATTACATGTCTTTCCTTTCCACCTTATTACATGCCTTTCTTTTCCACCTTATTATATGCCTTTCTAGACTACCTTCTTATATGTCTTCTTGACTGACTTATTACATGCCTTTCATTTCTGCCTTCTTACATGCCTTTCCTTTCTGCCTTATTACATGCCTTTCTTTTCCACCTTATTACATGCCTTTCTTTTCCACCTTATTATATGCCTTTCTAGACTACCTTCTTATATGTCTTCTTGACTGACTTATTACATGCCTTTCATTTCTGCCTTCTTACATGCCTTTCCTTTCTGCCTTATTACATGCCTTTCTTTTCCACCTTATTACATGCCTTTCTTTTCCACCTTATTATATGCCTTTCTAGACTACCTTCTTATATGTCTTCTTGACTGACTTATTACATGCCTTTCATTTCTGCCTTATTACATGCCTTTCTTTTTTGCATGATGTTCTTGACTGAATTATTACATGCCTTTCTTGACTGACTTGTTACATGCCTTTCCTTTCTGCCTTATTACATGCCTTTTTTGCCTTATTACATGTCTTTCTTTTCCACCTTATTACATGCCTTTCTTTTTTGCATGATTTTCTTGACTGACTTATTACATGCCTTTCTTGACTGACTTATTACATGCCTTTCCTTTCTGCCTTATTACATGCCTTTTTTGCCTTATTACATGTCTTCCTTTCCCACCTTATTACATGCCTTTCTTTTTTGCTTTATGACATGCTTTTCTTGACTGACTTATTACATGCCTTTCTTGACTGACTTATCACATGCCTTTCCGTTCTGCCTTATTACATGTCTTTCTTTTTTGCCTTATTACATGTGTTTCTTTTCCACCTTATTTCATGCCTTTCTTTTTTGCTTTATTACATGATTTTCTTGACTGACTTATTACATAGCATTCTTGACTGACTTATTACATGCCTTTTCTTTCTGCCTCATTACATGTCTTTCTTTTCCACCTTATTACATGCCTTTCTTGACTACCTTCTTATATGTTTTCTTGACTGACTTATTACATGCCTTTCTGGGCTCCCTTATTACATACTGCCCTTGTCTGCCTTATTACATGCCCATTGCCCAACAACATTTGGGTCGAAAAAAATGCCAACCTCTGTAATTGCAAAAATACAATAAACGTTTACCCAGATGACCTTGTTGGTTCGTTTAATCAAAATTGCTTGGACGTTATATTTAGTGGACACATGTGAATGAGTAGACGTCTTTTTTAACAGGCTATTTTTATCTACTGGTTATGGCTTTTTCAACAGTATTTTATTAAAGAGAATGTACCGGTCGATATTAGTCAAGGGTCGTCATTCGAAATTCAGAAGTGCATTCGTGTGCTTATGAATAAAACTAAAATTGTTGAATTGGTTAAGAGAATAGACAAACGAGAGTGAAGCAGGATGGGATATAAATTTTTATTCCATTGGGAACATTTTCGTGTAGAGAATGTTTTGAAGAAAATTCCTGGAAGGAAAACCGAACTCAAGAAGTAAAAGTCTTGGTAAAGAAAAAAAGAAACGTTGAACTTACTCTGTTGGTGAATTAAAGAGTGAGGAATTTGTAGAGTCTAAACCACGTGGGCCTACTGCACAGAGCGCTAATTTTAGCGTTCTCTCCCGATCTCGACCCGAATTAAAAGCGAACTGACCTCTTCAGATTCGAAGTACGCATGCTCCTATATTTTTATTTTTACGCATGCCCAAATAATGAAAAAGAATTACTGCCCGTCATAGGCTTTTCCACGTATAAATCTCTGGCAAAAAGGTTTTACATACCTTTCAGTAGGATCTGAAAAAGAGCTATTTTCTTTAAGACTCTCAAAAAACTCAAGCAAATAGGCGAAAATATACTGCTTAAAATCTGAATCGTTTACAAAACCACATGGAGTTCTTAAAAACCTGGCATCATTTAAAATATAAATATTTGAGTGACTACATGCCCCTGGCAAGCGAAATTAATTTGGTTTCATGTTAAACAATAAAAGATATTTTATTCAGGGAGATGTAGATTTTATAACCGATCACACAAAGCTTCACAAAATTTCAATATGCGTAACACCTGTGACACGTGTGTCAAGTCAGTTGTCCAGCTCCTGCCAAACGCGCTGTAGCATGTCTTGCGTAACATTCTCCAGCGCCACAAGGAGTCACTGCTTAATTTCCTCTAAGCTTGTTGGAAGAGGGGGGATATAGACATGTTATTTCACATAGTCCCTTGGAAAAATATCACATGATAATAAGTCGGGTGAACGTGGTGGCTATTTCAACAGCACATTGACATTATTACCGGTATACCTGATCCATCTCCCTGGTCGATTCTCATTGAGATAAGTTCTCACAGTCAATTTAGTTTTTATAAATTTTGTTAAAATTTGAGATCATTTGTGCTAGAATTGGCTATGTTATTAGACTACAAATTGATGTCAATTTTTTTTTTTTTTGCGGAGGACACAGTATAAATGATAGCGATTTTTTTTGGGGGGGACTCTGTATAAATGATGTCATTTGGGGGGCACCCTGTATAACGTATAATGTATACAGGAAGAAGAAATCATGCCAGACGATGGATAAAAATATGAATTTATGCTGAGTTATTATTTTCATATCCGAAACGAAAACAATGTAATTTTTAAGGAATTAATTGATCTTTGTCCATAATACGCCATTATTTTTTATTATCCGCCATTATTTTTTATTAACGCCATTTTTTTATTATCCGCCATCATTTTTTATCTACTGCCATTATTTTTTATTATCCGCCATTTTTTATCCGCCGCCATTATTTTTTATCCGCCATTGTTTTTATCCGCCATTATTTTTTTATTATCCGCCATTATTTTTTATTTGCCGCCATTATTTTTTATCCATCATTATTTTTTGCTATCCACCATTTTTTTATCCGGCAGTATATTTTATCCCCTGGCATTATTTTTTATTATCCGCCATTATTTTTTTTATTGCGGAATACGTTATCTTTAGTGGATACACGTGTTTGAGTAGACGTCTCTGCTTTTAGACGCGATATTTAAACGATCATCTATTGATTCTGAATCTGTATTAGATGGGCTTGAAAAAAGGCCAGGTTAACTGAAAGACCTCCTCGTTTTATTCGATGTCCCCCACCCCGTTTATCAAGAGTCAAGAGAATCGTCTGAAGGAGGTGTTAAAATATTTGGCAAAGATTTTCTTTAAAATATGTTCATTATTTGTTCGTGTGTGTCTTTGGGTGGCGCGCACCTGTGTGTATGTGTGTGTGTGTGTGTATGTGCGTGTGTGTGTTACGTGTCTCATGTAACACACCGTTGGGCTTTTTCATCTGCAAAACGCGTTATGTTTGCAGAAACCAGCCTCCGTCAGTCAAGTCGTACCTGGAGCGGAATTATCTCCCACCTGGGACAAAACAAGCCGCTCTGGTGTGTGGGCAGCGCAAAGATATTTTGCAGCCAAGTTCACCGTAAAAAAACCAAACAAACAAAAAAGACAAAACAATAACATACTTATATCTATCTATCTATCTATCTATCTATCTATCTATCTATCTATCTATTTCTTATTTCCATGTATCTATTCTTTTCACCTATCTATCTATCTATCTATCTATCTATCTATCTATCTATCTATCTATTTCTTATTTCCATGTATCTATTCTTTTCACCTATCTATCTATCTATCTATCTATCTATCTATCTATCTATCTATCTATCTATTTCTTATTTCCATGTATCTATTCTTTTCACCTATCTATCTATCTATCTATCTATCTATCTATCTATCTATCTATCTATCTATCTATTTCTTATTTCCATGTATCTATTCTTTTCACCTATCTATCTATCTATCTATCTATCTATCTATCTATCTATCTATCTATCTATCTCTCCCTGTTTACGTATCTATCTATCTATCTATCTATCTATCTATCTATCTATCTATCTATTTCTTATTTCCATGTATCTATTCTTTTCACCTATCTATCTATCTATCTATCTATCTATCTATCTATCTATCTATCTATCTATTTCTTATTTCCATGTGTCTATTCTTTTCACCTATCTATCTATCTATCTATCTATCTATCTATCTATCTATCTATCTATCTATCTATCTTACTCGGTTCGTATCTATCTATCTATCTATCTATCTATCTATTGTAGAATAGTTTAGGTTACGACAGTTCAAATGTACTAGTAGCAATATTTTATATACGTGTGCATTCTTCTACGTCTATATGCCGTGTCCCTCCAAGACGCTGACGATCATGACTCTCCACAGTTACCTGTTTATAGTAACTCTTACTAAATTTTGTTTTTGTTATCTCTCCTAAATTCTATTTTATTATCCATTTCCTCAAACACGCGAGGTCAGTTATACGTTGTTTTTTCTCTGCCCATCTTGCCTTCAATTTGCCTTATGAGTATCAAATTTTCCAAGCTCTCTTTCTTTACTATGCGCCCTAGAATTTTCAACTGTCATGTTGTGAGGTTAAGTGTCATTTTTGTTGCAATTTTCTCTAAAACCTCGTCGTTGCTCACATGTTAGGTTCATAGTATCCTCAGCATCTTTCTGTAGAACCCCATTTCTGTTGTTTTAAGTCCTTCTTCATCCGCGAGGATACTGTCCAGCACTCACTGGAAGAATAATATTACATAGGAGTAATGGATAGCGGCTCGGGTTGAGGAATCAGAGAGCCGAGTTCGAATTCCAGTCGAATCCATTACATTCACTTACGTGCTGATACCCTTGGGTAAATAGCAGGACGGACCGGGTTCTATAGCCTTGGATGACAACTGGTCTACCGCAGAAAGAAATGGCAACTTACTGCAGGAAAAAATAAGCCTCCTCAGTCATGTTTCGAAAGATACATGATAGCTTAAGCGTGTATCACTGGTCTACCGCAGAAAGAAATGGCAACCTATTACGGGAAAAATCTGCCTCGTCAGTCATGTATCCGAAGATACATGATCGCCTAAGTGTGTATCATTGGTCCACCGCAGAAAGAAAAAGCAACCTACTGTAGTCTAATGAATGTCACTTATCAGTTATCTCCTGTTAATTCCCTTCTCCAAGTTCTCCACCGCCTTAACATGGTATTGAACTCACACTCTTTGGGTCCTCTCACTGGATCTAACTAACGCCTTTATCCACTGTGCTATGTGTCCTTGCGATAAATATGGCAACAAAGATGAGGACAATAGTCCGAATAATGGAAATAGTGTACAGCCATT